ACTGCAGCTGTTCTCGTGCCCTGCTGCAGCTGAGGCTTTGGGGACAGCTGGCTGCTGCTGCTGCTGGGCAGTACCTTCTGGGTTGCACAGGGACCTCTGGAGCCTGTCACCCACTCTGCATCCATGCTTGGCCATGGTGCTGGCTGTGGGAGTGGAGTTTTTCTTGGCCACACATCTCTCAGAGGCAGTGAGGGCGGAGGATTCTGGTTTCACAGCCAGCACAGGCAGCTTTGTGGATCCACGTGTTGCTCCTGCAGGCAGGCTGCCCGCTGGAGCTGGTGGCTGCTGCCCTGCTCCAGGACGTTTATGGCCCAAGGCAGCCATCTAAAAGTCACTGCTGGTCCTTCACAGCCCCTTCCCTTGGGATCTTCTCCTGTCATGCTGGGGACAGCTAAAAAGCCTGACTAAAAAAACATTGCTCAAAGTGATTCAGAGAGGTGGAGGGGCAGCTGTCCAGCTGTGCCCAGCATTTGTAGACCAGCAGACCAGAGATCCCCAGCCCTTCTGACTCCAACTCAGAGAGCTTTGGTTGCTTGCCTCTCTTCCTTCTGGTGGTCCAAGTCAAGTGGCAAAATGAACAGCCACCCCCTGGCCCTTCCCCACAGCCCACTGCAGCCCTGCAACACCCAGAGCTGCAGCCAGCAGGGGACACTCCTGTCACTTGGCTGCACTGTGTCACCCATGCTGGCTGCTGCTGGCCCTGCAGAAGGTTCACTGAGCTGCTCTGCCTTTATCAGCTCCCTGTCCCAGCCCTGTCCAGGCCATCACCCGGCCACCATCCTGCACTGTCCCCTGAAGGATGGAGTGGGGTCCTCCCTCCCTGTATTGCAGGACTGGGAGGTGCTGGCTCCGTGGGAAAAGGCAAAGTGCTGTGCTGGGGTCACACAGCTGGGGCAGCAATCCCAGCAATGCCCTCTTGAAGCACCTCTGGTCCCAAAAGTCACTGCTGTGATGCAGGGGAGGTCAAGGTGCTCCCACCTGATATGTGCCAGGTTAACAGCTGGACCCGATGATCTTAAAGGTCTTTTGCAGTCTAAATAATTTCATGATTCTGTGTTGGAGGAGTCTCTCCTTGTTGGCATGAAGCTGCATGACATCCCCAGAGCTCTGGCTAGGTCCACCAAAGCAGCTCACCTCCTCCCTGTGCCCCCTGCTGCCATTCATGATCCTGCCTGACATTTCTGGGAAGAGCAGTTTCATAGAGTCTTACAATGGTTTGGGTTGGAAGGGACCCTGAAGTTCATCTGTGTCCTGCCCCCCTGCCATGGACAGGTGTGTCACTTGATCAATCAGATTGCTCATCTAGACCAAGTTTGCTCCTGTCATTCCAGTGGTGGGGTGGCCTGGGCCACTGCATACCTGCTCTATCCCTGCTGTGCCCTGGGGCAGTTTTTGGGGTCCATTCTTCCTGGGAAGGGCTGTTAGACTTGCTGCAGAAGCTGCCTGCTACCACAGGGGCTCCTGGGTGCCTTTCCGAGCATCCAGACAAGATGCTGTGCCCCTCAGTACACCAGAGGGGTGCCTATCTGTGTGCTGTTGTAGCCCCACTGGGTCCTGGCAGAGAATGTGGGGCAGCAGGGCACAGGGACATGACCTCTGCCTGCCTCTGCCCCCTCAGTGGATGAGGTTGTGGGATGAGGCATCTCTGAACCTGGCCATTCGCCTCTGGGCAGGGCTGGGGAGGTTTTGAGCCAAGCCTGGAGCACAGCCCTGCTGTAGCTGCTGATACAAGGCAGCAGTAAAAGATTATGAGCTTTAAATGGGGCCAACCTGTCCTATAAAGCTGTCACTGCTAATGGAGACCATCTCTGAATTGCACAGCTCCCCTCTCCATGCCGTGGCTGGAAGAGCTGGAGCTGAACAGAGAGGAGGGTTCTACACAGTATGGCAGAGTGAGAAAACTCCCTGCTGAGCAGAGCACTCAGCCTTTTCCCACATTTCCAGCTGGATCCCTGTGAGCAGCTTGTGCCTAAGAGAGCACGCGATCCCTCCACCCCCACATGGCAGCCAGGACAAAGGCTTGGTCGAAGGGTAAAAGAGCATGACACATCAGAAATGTTAGTGCCTGGCCCCTTGCCAGTCCCAGGCAGAGAAATCATCTCAGCCATTAATCTCTGCATGCAAGCTGCATCTGGCAAAGTGATGCTTCATGTCACCCATGCTCACTTACATCTCAGTGTTGCAGTTCATGCTTGCTTTAACAAAAAATTTTTAAATTTAAAAAAGGAAAAAAAAGTACTTGGTGCTTTCTGAGTCTAATTTCTTGGGGAGTATTTTCTGTGGGAAGCACAGGGCACAGCATGGACCAGTGTGCTGGGGTGAGCCAAACATGGGGAGCCTCTAAGGAAGGGCAGGATGGAGAAGCCAGGGTGTGTGTGTAAATAAACTGTGTGTCTCCATGCTGGGCTCTTCTGGCACTGGCATCCCTGCCTGGCACTGCAGCTGTGCTCAGCTCAGCTCCCTGCTCAGCTGAGGCTTCTGGGGACAGCTAGCTGGGCTACAGGGACCCTCCAGAGCCTTTCATCCACTGAGGTGCTGGGGCAGGCAGGGTTGGGATTGGAGCTTCCTCCAAGCTCAGCTTTCATTCTCCACTGTGATTAACTGCAGTTGTGTTCAGCTGTAATTTTAGAGAACAATTGGGTGACGTGGCTCACAGTTGATTTAATTGAAACCTGATGAGGCTGCTGTGCACCAGGGGAGTAGTGTTGGGAAGCCCCTGGGAATCCCATCCCCTCTTCCCAGTCTCTTGTAGGGCTCAGGCTCCCCACATTTCTCTGGAGCTGAGATTGTGCTGTAAGTCCAAGGTCTTCTTGTCCTGGAGTTTTGTGACCAGTCTGGGTATTCTCAAGTGTGGTAATGTTTTGGATTTGGGGGTTTGCTCCTCTGTAATTTGAGCCACTGGGGAGGTTGGGTGCATGTGGGACACTTGTCTTGTTCCTGACTGCAGAAATCCACTACTCTGCTGATTCATATGCTTGAGTTGCACTGGCCATTTTTGAGGCAGTTCGGAAGGCTGGGGGAAATTGCTTTCAGGTCAAGACCTGCTTTAGCCTGTGGTGATTTACTGTGCCTGGGGTTTAAATCTCTGCAAACAGAGGATTATGGTGATGGTAAACACTAGGTAGGCCTGGGGATTGCCATACTGACAGCTGAAGGGAGCATGGCCTTTCCCTTTAGCAGATAGAGCATGATGGATGTTAAAATAAATTGAGGTATGGCCCAAGTTGTAGTTTAGATACTGTTTCTCCTTGATTTATATTTCTGCTTGGGTGCTTCTCAGTGTAAGCAGTATGTTTCTTGCTTAACCTCACAGGGCCTTTTTGCTCTTAAATGAGGACAATGTGGTAGGTATGACCAATTGCCAAGAGTCCTAGATTAGTGCAAGATCTGCAAAAAATTCAGAGCTGCTGTACAGCCCAGCATCTGCTTGAAACACAAACACAAAGCAATGAACACTTTTGAAAATGCAAAGCTGCACTCCTGTGCTGGGGGATAACTGCTGGTGCCTGGCTGCTCTCAGTGCCTCTGGGTCTCTGGTGGCTTTGGGGGCTGAAAACAGAGCCATTGCCTCCTGCTCTCAGCAGGCAGGCGTAGCCAGCAGCCTGTCCCAAGCACGACAGGGTGAGGAGATCAGGAGCCATGGGCGCACTGCCCCAGCAACACCAGGCTGATGGGAAGCCCTGCCCATAGGCACTGCAGAAGGTGAGGGCAGGCAGGGCTTGTCCTCCTGCAGGTACTGGGCAGGAGGAAGGATGAAGGCTTGGTTTGCTAATTGCTCTGGAAGTGGTGGTGATAGGCAGGTCTAGCCTGCAGGGAGCTGTAAGGGGACCTGTGCATGATAAGTGGGACCAAAAGACATCGACACAGCCTTACAATCCAATTACTGCTGAGTGCTAAGCAACCTGGCCAATTTGCTCTAGGCTTTTAGAACACATATAAGTAGAGAGGGCATTACATAATGCCCTGGCGATGGCTCCACTCGCAGTCCCTGAGAAGGGCTGAGCTGGCCTGGCCAGAAGATGACCATGGCTTTGCTTGTTGCTGGATGATCCCATCTAATGGCTTGATCTCTTGTACTGTCTGCACTTGCTGCATTGCACTTGGCCTGCTGCAATCCATGCAGCATCCACCTGGGATAAGCAGTCTTGTCAAGGCACATCTCCTGCACACTCTCCCAAGTAGCATCTCCATCTTTCGGTCTTTCTCGTGCTGCAGAGGAGCCTGGGACAAATTCAAGCAGGGGCCTGACCCTGTTAAGTACCTCAGGCTCAGCGTTGAGAATGATGTCCTCTAGCCTTTCCTTGCTCTTGATGTCTCACTGCAAGTGGAAGATGTTTCCATGTCTTTAGAACCCCCCTTGCCTCGAGAGGGTACCACCAGCAGTAAGTGTTCCAGGCTGCTGCAGATCACCAGCAGTTCTGTGCAGGCAGAGGGCTGTCATCTCTGTGGCCTCTTCCTCAGGGAAGCCCATGGCAAGCTGCTGGGAGCTAATGGGTTTGTGCAGGTGATACTGGAAGTGTCACGTGGTGAACTGATGCTGTCCATGATGGGAATTGCTTTGATATGTTGGGCCAGGATGGATGATGTCTGGGATAGAGGTGGGAAACATTCATGGAGTTGGTAGCTGAAAGTAAACATGGAAGTTTGCAGGGCTGGCACTACAGAAGCACTTCCAGAAACGGAGAGAGGCGAGGTTGAAGCTACCTCTTGCTTTTGTCAGTTATTTGGAAAACCAGTCTTCTGGAAGGAAGGAGGGAGTGGATAGAGGCAGGGGGTCACCAGAAATGATTTCTGAAGTAAACACACAGTGGTAAATGCTTCATGATGGTTGAAGTTTGTTTGCTTCGTGCAGAGGTTGCAGCTGGATTGTGTTAAATGTGAGTTGCCCATGGAGTAGACTACACCAAATCCTCATTGGGTTCAGCTCCTCCAGTAGCTGGTGGTAATCACAGGTTACACTTTTGTCTTATATTGCTGACTTTTCCTCTTTGTGCTTTCAGAAATAACACGGATCATCCAGGTAGACTTGGACCTGAAGTACAAGACCAACATCCGAGAGCTGTTTGATGAGTTTGACAAATTCCCAGAGGGAGCAGTCATTGGGATTGCCAGAGAAATGCAACCAGTGTACAGGTACAGCCCCCTCCCGGGGGGGAGCAGGGAGAGGGCAGCAGGTGACTGGTGGCTTCTCTTCAACTCAGGTTGCTCTTTGGAAAAAAACCCAGAGAGCAGTGGTTTATGGAGATGGATGGAAATGGTGGAGACCAATCCACCATCCCGGCAGGGGGCCTTAATCTGAAACTTGTAAGTTGATATGAGCAAACCATACAGTGTTGCTGTGGTTTGTTTGCTTGTTCTCACACACCATCACAAGACTTTCAGAGGAAAATTCTTGATCATCAGTGCCAAAATCCATGCCTGGACTCTAGTACATCTAGAGTACATCATGTACGTCATGTTTGCCCAGCCATGCCTGCTGAGGTGCTGTAATTGTTTGTGTGTTGGCGCTCTGAAGTTTTGGCTGAGAGTATTGCAGAGAGTAGGGATTGAGTTTGGGCAACAGTGAGGTTCTGGGTCCCTGGAGTGCATTTTCTGCTTCCTCCACTGAAGGCTGAATGGGCAGCTCTTGCTGATCTGGGCTTGCAAGCATGAAGGTGGCCTCATGGTCCCTTGCTCTTCAGACCCTTGGTCCACAGCCACTGCCAACTGTGCTGGAAACCACTCACAAAGGGGTGGCCCAGTCCTTCCCACTCATGGGAAATAATGCAAATCCCACCACTGGTGGGATTCAGGGACACAGGGATATTTCCAGGTGCTTAGAGAAATTGGTTTTGTTTAGCCATTGTTCTAAGGATGGACCTCAGGTTTTCTTTTAATCCAGGGTAGATCAGATAATTATCCCAGGATGCCTTAATGGATCTCAGCAGAGCTGAGTTTGAGCATCTCAGATGGCTTGGCTAGATTTGCTAATCCTAATGGAAAAGTTCTTGGGGAAAGATAAAAAAGCCTAAGAGGTCTGTATGTCTTTTCCTTCCCTGCTGGAAGCCTACTTCCCTACTGAGGCTCTTAGGACATGACCAGCAGCACTCTTGGGCACAGGCTGAGCTGCAAAGATCTGGACCAGCCTTTCCTGCTGCTTGTGCATCCAGATGGGAAGAGGGTAGAGACAGAAGTTCATCAACAGGAGATTGATGGTTGTTAGTCACCACCAATTGCTTCCTGGAAGCCTAAACCATATGACAGAATGTGATTGCTCGAACTACAGAAGTCACCACTATTTCGGAGCTGGAAAAAAGACATCTCTCTCTCTGTGGCATAAGTGTTGCCTCTCTCCTGATTTGTACTCTTGGCAGGAAGAGCTGGCACTAGAGGAACACGGATGCTGAGGTCTTGTCTCCATAGGGTGACACCATGCTTGGAGAGTAGAGGGCTCCTGTATCTGCTTTGGGTGTCCTTACAGGATTTGGGTGCCCAGAATGGTAAATCCAGCCCCAGTTAATCATATGCAATTGTTAGAGCTTAAAAGGGGATGGAGGGAAGAGCCCCAGCCAAGAGTGGCTGCAGGCTGTGAGGCTGTGGCCTCGGTGGGCCCAGCAGGGCAGATCCCTGTCGTTAGTGGTGCTGGAACAGGGTAAATGAAGCACTCGTTTGTCTGCAGTTAGTACAGGGTGGAATCACTTTGTTTTTGTCTCTGCAGGGTTTTGCATTATTTCAATGCATAACTAGGGAGTGGGGATGATGATCTGCTGCCTGGATGTGGTTTGTGGGACTGGGTGTGCCTGGAAGGGACTGAATTAAGGTTTGAGGGGCTCCACTGGAGAGCCTTTCAGCATGGCAGGGGACAAGGCAGGGGATCATGGGCTGAGCACTGAATACCTGACCCAAGCCATAGCTGTGTTCTCCCCCTCCTGCCACCCGTGGTGGGGACAAACATGCCAAGCAATAATAGCCCTCACAGGCTGCATTTTTGGGCTGAACTTTCTGTTGTTGCAGTTTTGACATCCTGGGTCACTTTGGGCTATGTTGTGCTTTTCTTCTTGTGTTGTTTTGATCTTCATGTGAAAACAAGTTCTTGATCCTTCTTGTCGCCAGATCACCCGTTGTGGGGCGAGCTGTGCAAACTCCAGCCTGCCCTCCTGCCAAGCCCTGCACCCTGTGGGGCTCACACCTCACTGCTAAAAGGGTTTCCAGACACAAACATGAGCTGACAAAGCATGGATGTCTTCGTAAAAAAAAAAAATTCTTTACTATTTTTATACTTTTAGAAAGATAAAAACATGTTGTAGGTGTGAAACAACAGGTGTCAGCTCAAGCCGTGTTGTTTGCCATGTGTGCAGGCTTGAAGCCTCAGCTGGGGAAAGGGTTGTGGGGAGGGAGGAGGATTACAGGGTGATTGTGGGGTCTCTGTGTTGCCACTCACGTTTTCCTCACCATTTCACACAGCTCTCTGCAGCACTAGCATTGCCCCAAAGCATCAGAGGACCTAGCAGTGAGGGTGAATTAGCAGAGCTGTCCTGAGCTTGCTCATGGAGCTGTGGACTCAGTTCCCTGCGGCAGGGTAAGCCAGTGGCCAGAAAGCGTCTGGCTTCCATCTTTCCTGCTGTGTAGCAATGGGAAAGATGGATGGAGATTAATCCACCATCTGTTTCCATCAGCTGCCCGTTGGCTGCCTGGCTGTGGGCTGCACTTTGTGGGCACAGATTGGGGCTGCAGAGGGCTCAGGCTGCTGCACTGGTGCAATGAGCAGTGCTGGGCACAGACAGACATTCCGGGAAACGGAGGAGTAAGAGAACAGCGAATCGGAAACATCCCGGAGCCTCTCTGCATATCCTGAAGGTAGGGGAAACCTCCAGACAGCAAAACAGGATGGCACGGGAGTGTTTCCACTCACTTGACTCATGCTGAAACAATGCCCGGCCACTGTTTGTCTTGGACAAACACATTTCTCTGAGCAACAGGATCTCCCGGCCCTCCTGCTAGGCCAGTGCTGGGATTTAACTGTTGCACAGTCTGGTGTTGGTCTGTCCTTTGGGGCCACTCAGGCTGAACTGGAGTGGCCTGTGGAGAGCAGTAGCTCCTGCTGAAGCTGGACATGGATCGCTCTGCAGTGTCTGGCAGGGAGTCCTGGATGCAGAGGGGGAGGTGGCAGGAGCCCACGTCACATGCAGGAAGTGATCTGAGGTCCGAGGCCACTGGCATCACGTCAGGTTTCTGTCTCTCCAGCTGCGGCAGGGAAAAGAGGCATCCTGTCCATGGGTCAGGCATGTTGTCCTTCCTGTGGCTGTTGGATCCATTCTGGGACATGGGCTACAGTCAACACCTCTGTGGACAGGGTTGCAGGCAGAACTTCATCCCACAAGAAGGTGCTACTGTGGTGAGGTTGTTGAGGACACTGGTACTGTGCAGTAGCCTCCTAGATGCCTTTGAGCTTTCTATGGCAGCACTGGATTTGTCCTGCCAGGCTGTTGTTTGAATATTGGCCTGCAGAATAGCCTCTTCCCAGGCTGGCTTATGCCTGCTCATGTGTCTGCCTGCAGAGGGTTCACACCGTGGCCAAGATCAGGAGCTCTGGCTTCAGTAGGAGTGATTTTGATGTAAAGATTAGACTCTGCATCTAAAGTTTGCATCATCCAAAAGGCTTTCCATGCAAGGAGGTGCTTCTTCAGAGTCATAACCTTAATTAAAAGTCCTGTTGTCCCCTGCAGCATTTCAGCTGCTCATTTGTGCTGGCCAATCCTGCTCACCAGGCTACATAGAGTGAGTGATAATGGTCTGTATAAATATTTATGTTGCACTGAGCCTTCCGTGCCAGATCTTGGTCAAATTGAGATGTCCAGGCTCTCTGGTGCTCTTGAGCCCTGCTAAGAAACCTGCAGAGAAGCTTTGCAGATGCAGCCTGCATGGGAGCGACCAGATGGGCAGCAGGACACTGTCCTTGTGGGTGTGTGGGTACAGAGCAGCTCAGCCGTGCTCCCAGCAGTGCAGCTGTGCCATGGCTGGTGATGGAAGCATGGCCTGCTGCCCCTTAGCCTGCTGACCAGGTGTGAGCACTGGGGCTGCAGCTGGGGCATAGCAGGGTCTCCATTGGAGCATGACAATGGCTTCCTCATACCAGTGCAGCCCAGACCTACCTGTTCCTCCCTGCCTGCCTGGCTTGGCTTAGCACCTGTTCCCAGACACATGAACTCAGTGCTGCCAGTTGCCAAAGGGATAGGATTCCTCATTTCAAAACGGCCCTGTGATTGAGAGGAGCAGGGTGAGGAAATACTGTGGCACTCCCCAAAATGTCCTGAAAGCTCTCAGATTACTGAAGGCAGAGCTTAAACCCCATTCTTCCTGTGTTTCCTGGTTCTAGACTGGTCTGGTCACACTGGTGGCACGTGAGAGGAAGCAGAGCAGTGGTACTGATTGCACAGCTGCCCTCAGCAGCCTCAGCCTGACCCCTGTGCCACACCGTGCTCCCTGCTCCCATTCCCATCCCAGCCTCTTCTCTGCCTAAGCACTGCTGCTGCTGGCACTGCCAATGGAAGTGGGCTCTGGGTGCCCACAGTGTGCCAGCACCACCTGGGGCCCTCAGAACTGCCCCCATCATGCTCCCTTTGGAGGTCTCCTTGGGAAGGAATGGTCTGCTGGCAACAGGGAGGACTTAACCCACAGGTCCTCAGATGGGTGCTTTTACCCCTTCCAGGTAGAAGGAAGATACCTGCTGTGAAGGTGGGCCTCAGGAGAAGTCCCAGAGCTTCACAGGTCCAGGAATGCACACAGCTGGGGCTGGAAGGGTGGCTGCTGCTTCCACTTCTGCTATTTGGTGAGATCTTTACTACTGTGCCCTGTGTCAAGAAGCTAATTAAAGCTTGAGGCATCTTGGGAATCCACAGTGTTGGAAATTATAATTTTGTCCAGTAGGAAAGGATATCTACATCAAAGGGGCAGCTACAGACTACAAAGGGCCGACACTTGGGTCCCTGTGTGGCTGCAAGGCCATTCGCCTTTGCCTCTGCCTAAAACCTGGGAACAACTCAAACAGGACATTATTTTGTAGAAAGGAAAGGCTTTGTTTCTGCTTGTGATCATGTGGGAGCTGCTGTGAGTGTGCTGTGTGTTCAGTGACATGTGTTTTGTTTGTTTGAGAG